TTAAAAAGAAAAAAATATTTGATTCTTTCTTCTCTACCTTAGCAATGCCCTTTAAGGCCACCAAATTCATATAAAGACTTGGCCAAAAAAAAAAAAAAAAAAATGATCAGCTCTACCAGGAAACACAGATAAGTATCTATGTTTCTAAATAAAAGTAACTATGCCAATGCAATCCTACCAAGCTTCAAAAGTATTGAATGGCCTAAAAACAAACAAACAGAAAACTATGACAGAGTCTACCTATGTAAAAAATAAACCATTCTACTTAGAAAACAAGACAAGAATTTACTTAAAGGACCCATAAAAATGGTTTAGAACTTTTTTTATTCTTTTTTTTTTTTTTGAGACGGAGTTTTGCTCTTGTTACCCAGGCTGGAGTGCAGTGACTCAATCATGGCTCACCGCAACCTGGAACTCCTGGACCCAGGCAATCCACCTGCCCTAGCCTCCAGAGTAGCTGAGACTATAGGCACGCATTACCATGCCCGGTTAGAACTACTTTTTAAAAAGAGTAACAAATGGATCCTTGAGAAATTAAGGCAAGCTTGGAAACACAAAAGATTTTGAAAAAGTTTTCACTCCTCTTCACTGCTGCGTGGTACCCATCTAGCATTTCAACTATTTTTTGTTGCTGTCGTTTTGAGACAAGTCTCACTCTGTTACCCAGGCTGGAATGCAGTGGCATGATCTCAGCTCACTGCAACTTCCGCCCCCAGGGTTCTAACAATTCTCCTACTTCAGCCTCCCTCATAGCTGGGATTACAGGTGCCTGCCACCACGCCCAGCTAATTTTTTGTATTTGTAGTAGAGACAGGGTTTCACCATGTTGACCAGGCTGGTCTCAAACTCTTGACCTCAGGTGATTCACCTGCCTTAGCCTCTCAAAGTGTTGGGATCACAGGCGTGAGCCACTGAGCCCAGTCGCATTTCAACTTTTATAGACAGGTAAGGGTCAAGGATCTGAGGGAATGTTATTTCTGTGGCTCTGATAGCCAAGTCACCATAAACACAGAAGGGTGTCTATGTGAAGCTGAAGCAAGCCCCCAGTAGGAACTGAAATAGATAGAACTCACCTCATGTGAAAGGGAAGGAAAGTGGGAGATGACCACTAATGCCCTCCAAAATGAAAGCAGTCATATTCTAAATGAATTCCTCTATTTCCTATATGATATCTACCAAAATGATGGTTTCTTTTTTTTTTTGGGGGGGGGGGGAGTCTTGCCCTGTCATCCAGGCTAGAGTGCAGTGGCACAATTTCAGCTCACTGCAGCCTCTGCCTCCTGAGTTCAAGCAATTCTCTGATTCAGCCTCCCAAGTAGCTGGGATTCCTGGCGCCCGCCACCACACCCGGCTATTTTTTTTTTTTTTTTTTTTTTTTTTTGTGTATTTTCAGTAGAGACAGGGTTTCACCATCTTGGCCATGCTGGTCTTGAACTCCTGACCTCATGATCCACCCACCTTAGCCTCCCAAAGTGCTGGGATTACAGGCATGAGCCACGGTGCCCTGCCCAATGTGTCTTAATTTAATATATAACTATGTAGTAACAGACACATTGTTGTAAAATGTTCCCCCTTCTTAAGTAAACATAAAACTGTTTTTTTGTTTTTTTTTTAATCCTTCTGTTATAGATTTTTGCCTAGTTAAGGGAAGTAGAAGGGAAGCATGGAGGATAAACAGGTGGGAGAGAAAAGAGCCATAAAGTGAACAAAGGTTATGGACTGAACATAAATATGGACTGGAAATCAGGAATCCTGGTTTCAAATCCCAGCCTGCCACTAGCTAACTAAATTACCTTCTTTAGACAATGAGATTCCTCATCTAAATAAATGAGGTGGGAGTAAGGGTTGGACCCAAGAACAAGATTCCATCCCGAACAAGCCGCTTCCAAAGAGAACTCTCACCGAAGCTTCAGAGTTGAGAATGGCAACTATGCATCTGGGGTTGGGGTTGGATCTCTTGGGTTGTATTGTGAGACAAGGGTAACTTCTAATTATTTTCACTGAGGATGGAGACTGTTCAAAATTACACTACCTAAGTAGAGCACAGTAAAAGGGAATCCATGAAAGCTACCAATTGAACCCAATCTGAATGGTGTTCTTCATACCAGTGGCTAGGTATTGCAGATTCAGAGATGAATGTCACAGTTCCTGCCTTTAAGATGCTCAGAATTCAGTTAAGGAAAACTGTACCTGACTCTGCCCTTTCTTTCCCAAGAATGTCATATAAAGAAAGCACTGACTCCTAGAGTCTTAACATTCAGACCTCTGTCAAGAAAAATGAGGCTTAGAGAAATTAACTTTAAGGCACCTAAGTTTTCTGACTTCAAATCCAGTGCTGTGATACATATGAATAATGTGGTTATCTGAATGTCATCTAGCTATATTAAGTTCCATTAGTCTGAAAGTAAAAGAAAATTGTAAAATTAAATCAAAATTCCTGCCTACTTAAAAACCTTGGAAAACGAAAGAAAAAACAAAACTCCTGCCTACTGCTAATAATATTTAAGCCTCTCATAAATAATATTGTTGGCCAAGCACAGTGGCTCACGCCTGTAATCCTAGCACTTTGGAAGGCCAAGCAGGTGGATCACCTGAGGTCAAGAGTTCAAGACCAGCCTAGCCAACATGGCAAAACCCCATCTCTACTACAAAAATACAAAAATTAGCTGGGCATGTGGGCGGGTACCTGTAATCGCAGCTACTTGGGAGGCTAAGGCAGGAGAATCACCTGAACCCAGGGGAACGGGGCAGGGTGCACAGGTTGTAGTGAGCTGAGATTGGGCCACTTCACTCCAGCCTGGGTGAAAGAGTGAAATTCCTTCTCAAAAAAAAAAAAAAAAAAGTCATAAATTCCAACACATATGTATCTATCTGTCTTCAAACTTAATCCCCACTAGCCTGCACCCCACCTGCAGGTCAGAGGCAGTTGTCTAAATCATCACTATTTGCAATACGTGGCAGAAAGCATGAATTTAGAGTATAATGGTTGAATTTGTAATCTCCAAAGCCCCTCCCAGATCTAAAATTGCCTGACATCTGACCTCAAAACATGATCAAGACAGATATGACCAATAAACACCCAAAGGCCACACAGTATCACAAATTTATAAACCTAACTCACCTTGAGATCTTTTAGAATATTGCCAGTACACACTTTAAATATATTTTTGCAACTATATTACAACTACAGATCTCATTACTATATATATTGTCCTTAGTAACACAAAATTAGGATTTTCCACTCTTAAGAAATTTCATATTTGTAAATTTATACAAGCAAAAAAAAGGGAATAAGGTAGAAAGGAATAAGAAATATCAATTATAATCAGAAAATTGTGCCCTTATATCTACAAATATGTATGCTAATTGCATAACCTGCTAAAACTTGAGCAAAGAATTTGCTTCTTTCACTTCTGGTTATAGTCAAGATACCTGAAAAGAGCAAAACAGAGTAGAGAGAACTCTATAAAGGAAGGTTTTACAAGTTGGGGATATTTTCCTATTTGCCTAGAGATTTAAAAAAGGGTGTCAAAATCTAACTCAAGGGAAATTGCTTTTACAGTAATGTGCAACTATTTTCTGACTACTTTTATTTATCCCTATTAAATCAACAAAGCCCCATCCTGAAATCTGCAATGTCCAGCACTATAAGTTTTTTTTTGTTTGTTTTGTTTTGTTTTGTTTTGAGAAATGGAGTGTCGCTCTTGTCCCTCAGGCTGGAGTGCAATGGCGCAATCTAGGCTCACTGCAATCTCCACCTCCCAGGTTCAAGCAATTCTCCTGCCTCAGCCTCCCTGCCACCACGCCTGGCTAATTTTTGTATTTTTAGTAGACTAAGTTTCAGCACGCTGGCCAGGCTCCTCTCGAACCTCTTACCTCAAACAGTCCTCCCACCTCAGCCTCCCAAAGTGCTGAGATTACAAGCGTGAGCCGCCGCGCCGACCCTAACGTAATTTCAAGCATATCTTGTGGGCCCGACTCGGTAGCTCAGGCCTGTAATCCCAGCACTTTGGGAGGCCGAGGCGGGTGGATCACTTGAGGTCAGGAGTTCCAGACCAGCCTAGTCAGCATGGTGAAACCTTGTTGCTACTAAAAATACCAAAAATTAGCCAGGCGTGGTGACATGTGCCTGTAATTCCAGCTATTGGGGAGGCTGAGGCAGAAGAATCACTTGAACCCGGGAAGTGGAGATTGCACTGCACCGAGATCACACCACTGCACTCCAGCCTGGGAGACAAAATGAGACTCTGTCTTAAAAGAAAAGAAAAGAATATCAAGTCAAATCACAAATACAATCCCATTAAAAAAAAAAAAAAGTTATTGGGGGGGAAAAGTGGAGGCTTATCTGGGAGAATTAGAGAAAAGTCTTTCCTAAGGTAAAGCACCAATTTGGCTTAAATACTTGAGATCAAATTCTAAACACCAAATTGCATTTTAATAAAGGACACTGAAACAAATGATTAACCACTATGAAGCACAACCACTTCTGATTTTAAGAATTCACAAACCACTTGAATGGATTTAGACTCTATGCAAATACAGCAAATAGACAGCTCTGCAAAATGACTTCCTTTTCTCTTTCACAACCACACCCGTACACACATACCGCCTCCCCGCAACAACCTAAATCCTTGTAGTACAGTTTTTAAAAATTGGGGACGGAGAAGGTTATCTGTTTTTTCCAGAAAAGGCAAGTGCAGATGTGGCACTAGCCAGCTGACCAAACCTGACTGCTCAGAAGCCAGGTATGATTGACAGGTACGCCTCCAGCCAACAAGGCAACAGAAATACTCGCTGTCCACAGACCTCATAACTTCTACAGAAACACAAAGCCAAGCCAGTTCCTCTTCCTCCAGTGACAAATCAAAGCTAAGTCCTGACGCTTGCGGGGCCGGCACGGAAGCGGCAGACCGAACTCCGGACTCCCGGCTCAGGCTCCGACCCAGGCCCCGGCCCCGGCCCCGGCCCCGCCCCGAGTCCCCACGCAGCCTGCGCTGTACCTGGCGAAGAAGTCCGCGAAGCCGCCGCTCCGTCGAGCCCGGGCCGAAGTCCCCACGGGACCCTGCTCCGCGGCGGGCGAGGGCACCGGCGGCCCCGCCGGGGGCAAGTAATCGCAGGCGCTCTGACCGCGGCTCACCTCGAACGTGTTCCGAGAGTTCAAGTGAATGTCAGAAAAGCCCAGGCGCGGCTCCGCACCCCCACTAGTCCTCTCGGCCGAGGGGCCAGAGGGCGCGCCCTCTTGGGGACTCCCGGCGCCGGCCCTGGGCTGCTCCGAGTACTCGCTACTGCTGCAGCTGCTGGCCGGGCTGTTCCCGGAGCCGCTGCCCTCGCCCTCGGGCTCCTCGGCGTCCGCGGCCACCAGGCAGCAGCTCCGCAGCGGGTCCTCAAGCGGCGAGGCCCAGTCGGACGTGCTGCCCGCGCCGTCGGAGTCCTGGTCGCCAGGCCCCTCCAGGCGGAGGCGGCCGCAGGGGCGGCGGCGGCGCGACTCCCGGCCGCCGGCGCGCGCCAGCCCGCGAGCCTCTTCCAGATCGCGACAGTCCCGGCCAGGCAGAAAGCCCGAGTCGCCGTTGGTCATGCCTCCGTGTCGCGGCGCGGGGCCATCCGCCACCTCCGCGCCGGGGTGCTTGGAGCCCGAGTCCAGCGGACAGGCGTCCGATGTTGGAGCTGCCGAGGGCGGCTGGGCGCCGGCCTGACCAGCGGGGAGCGGACAGTGGCAGAGCCCCGGCTCCAGCTGTTCCCCGGCCTCCGCGAGGTAACACTGAAGGAGCTGGCGAGGCGGCGTCTCCTCCTCCTCCTCTTCAGCGTCCTCCGGCGGCTCCACAGCGTCGACGCCTCCGCCAAAGCCGCCCGTGGCCCGGATTACCTTCCCGTCCTGGCCCACGGGCTCGGGCGCAGGCACCGGGAGCAACTTGGGGTTTCTTCCCGAGCAGGCTCCGGCATCCTCCGGACCCACCATCTGGGGGCGGTGGCTGCCGCCCCAGGAGGCAAGGAAGGACTCCAACCGCAGGCTTGGCTGGAGAACAGCTCTGGGTGCTGGGACCGCGGCGACAGCCGCCGCAACGTTCCCAGACCCACCCCTCCCACCCGCCGGGTCGGACAGTTGCGGGAGGGCGGGCACGCGCCAGGACTCGCGCACGCGCAAAAGCCGGACCGGTCAAGCCCCGACCTGGAGATTCCCCGAACCATAGAGACGGTAGCTAGAGAGACGCAGGCTGCCAATCTAGGATCCGCCATCTGGATGGTGGAGGCTGGTTGGCCCGCTCCAAGCCTGACAGTTCTTACAGAAGCGCGGGAATTGCTCGCTTAACAAAAATTCACTTGATGTATTTCATTTATGGTAGTAAAATACTCCCATATTTGGGAAGCATAAGCGTGGGTAAGTCCTTCCAGCTCTAATTGGTCACCAGTAGACTCTACGATCTTTACATCCTTCTCCATCTTCATTGCCACAGTTCAGGGCTTCATCGCTTCATCAAGGAGGGTCAACATCCTTCTTCACTTTATCTAACACAAAAGAAAGATAACCTAAATTTTCTTGCTCGCCTAGCACCACAGTCCTCTGTGTCCTCCTTTCATCACAGTCCTCTGTTTAAAAGATTATCACCTAAGGAGGGAGAGGAAGTGGTCAGGCAGAGAGGAGCAATTGAAGTAATTCCAGCACTATGCTATAATGGATTAAAATGGGATGATTGACCATTTAGTGGAAATGAAGCGTATTTAAAGTAAAAGCCGAAAGACTTGATGACTGATCAGAAGAAGTGACAGAAAAGAGTAGGCAATGATTGCTACAAAGGTATGAGACCGAAGCTGATAAGGTTTGAAGAAATAGAAAATTGGAGAAGAAAAAACAATTAATAGAGGAAATACATCTGGTAAAGTAAACGACTGAAAATATCCAGCATATAGAGCTCTAAAACTTGAGTTGGCCGGACTCAGTGGCTCACGCCTATAATCCCAACACTTTGGGAGGCTGAGATGGGTGGATCACCTGAGGTCAGGAGTTCGAGACCGGCCTGGCCAAAATGGTAAAGCCCAGTCTGTCCAAAAAATAAAAATAAAAATAATTAGCCAGCTGTGGTGGTGGGCACCTGTAATCCCAGCTACTTGGGAGGCTGAGGCAAGAGAATTGCTTGAACCTGGGAGGCTGACGTTTCAATGAGCAGAGATTGCACCACTACACTACAGCCAGTGCAACAAGAGTGAAACTCTGTCTGAAATAAATAAATAAATAATAAAACTTGGGTTAGGGTTTAAGTTCAGAGGCACAGATTAAGGCATCATCCAGATAATGCAAGTAGGTGGATGAATCATGAGTAACATTCCCTAGGAAGAAAGAATACTGATAAAGGTCAGGTACAGACCCAAATGTTTCATTATTTCAGGACAAAGAAATTGTATTGAAGAGATTGAAGAGGCACCATTTGTGGATGAAACGAAGCAGAAAATATAGACCACTCATTCTAAAAGTATGTTAGTGAAAGCAAGAACAAAAATAGAATAGAGTCATAGAGGAGACATTATTGTCAAACCTTTTTAATTTTTTTCATATAAAAACACGTATACATACAGATACAAGAAAGAGGGAATATAACCTTTATACAATAAAAGGTCAATAAAATTGGCATGCATGTACCTAGCACCAAATTTTTAAAAACATCAAGAGTCCAGGCACAGTGGCTTGAATCTGTAATCACAGCAATTTGGGAGGTGGATGCGGGCAGATCACTTGAGGTCAGGAGTTCAAGACCAGCCTGGTCAATATGGTGAAACCCCACCTCCACTAAAAAAAATAATAATAATACAAAGAATTAGCAGGGCGTGGTACAGGGTGCCTATAATCCCAGCTACTCAAGAGGCTGAGGCAGGAGAATTGCTTGAACCCAGGAGGGAAAGTATGCAGTAAGCCAAGATAGCACCACTGCACTCCAGCCTGCGCAACAGAGCAGGACTCCATCTCAACACAATAAAAACATCAAGTGTCTTCAAAAATGAGCATTGTTGAAGGCCCTAGGGAAGGACTAAGTGGCAAGAGCATACTTAGCAATGCATTTGTTATCAAGGTATTTCAGAAGGAAGAAACGACTTTCAGGACACAAGTGGAAAAGTTAATATAAAAAGAGAGAAAATAAACAGTGCTGAAATGAACATAAGTGTGCATATGTCTAATAGAACGATTTATAATCCTTTGGGTATATACCCAGTAATGGGATTGCTGGGCCAAATGGAATGTCTACTTCTAGATCCTTGAGAAATCACCATACTGTCTTCCATAATGGCTGAACTAATTTACATTCCCACCAACAATGTAAAAGTGTTTCTATTTCTCCACATCCTCTCCAGCATCTGTTGTCTCCAGATTTTTTAATGATCCAACCCAAATGCCCATGAATGATAAACTGGACAAAGAAAATGTGGCACATATACACCATGGAATACTAAGTAGCCATAACAAACGACGAGTTCACGTCCTTTGCAGAGACATGGATGAATCTAGAAACCATCATTCTCAGCAAACTGACACAAGAACAGAAAACCAAACACCGAATGTTTTCACTCATAGGTGGGTGATGAACAATGAGAACACTTGGGCACAGGGAAGGGAGCAACACTCACTGGGGGTGGAGGGAAGGGGAGGGGAGGGACAGCGGTGGGGGGAGGAGTGGGGAGGATGGGGAGGGATAACACTGGGAGAAATGCCTAATGTAGGCGATGGGCAGGGGGGATGGAGACAGCAAAGCACATGGCATGTATATACCTATGCAACAATCTTGCAGGAAGCAGTATGTGCACATGTACCCCAGAGCCCAAAGTACAATTAAAAAAAAAAAAGAGAGAAAATATTTGCAAATTGTATATCTGGTAAGACTGCATTATCCAGACTATATAAAGAATTTGTATAAATCAAAAACTAAAACACAACCCAACTAAAAAATGGGCAAGGGACTTGAATATACATTTCTCCTAAGAAAAACATGTTAATGGAATATTAATAAGCATGTGAAATGATGTCAACATCATTAGTCATTAAGGAGATGCAAATCAAAACTACAATGAGATAGCACTTCATACCCACCAGGATGTCTGTAATCAAAAAAATAGGAAACAAGTGTTGAAAATGCTGTGGAAAGAGTAGAACCCTCATACATTTCTGGTAGAGATGTAAAATGGTGCAGCTTCCATGAAAAATAGTTTGGTGGTTCCTCAATAAGTTAAACATAGAATTACTAAATGACCAGCAATTTTACTCCTAGGTATATACCCAAAAGAACAAAAATGTTTTATGTGAACTGGACATGGTGGCTCATGCCTGTTATCTCAGCACTTTGGGAGGCCAAGGCGGGCAGATCACCTGAGGTCAGGAGTTCGAGACCAACCTGGCCAACATGGTGAAACCCCATCTCTATTAAAAAAAAAAAAATACAAAAATTAGCTAGGTGTGGTGGTGTGTGCCTGTAATCCCAGCTACTTGGGAGGCTGAGGCATGGAGAATTGCTTAAACCCGAGAGGCAGAGATTGCACTGAGCCAAGATCATGCCATTGCACTTTAGCCGGGGCAACTCCATCTAAAAAAAAAAAATGTTTTACGTGAATGTTCATAGCAGCATTACCAATAATAACCAAAAGGTGGAAACAACCCAAATGTCCATCATCAGAGGAACTGATAAACAAATATGGTATATCCATGCAACCAAATAGCATTCACCTGTGAAAAAGAAATGAAGTACTGATTTATGCTACAAGATAGATGAACCTGAAAAGCATTATGGTGGTGTGTACCTGTGTAGCCCCAGCTACTCAGGTGGCTGATGTAGGAGGATCTCTTGATCTGAGAAGTTCAAGACTATAGTGAACTATAATTGTGCCTGTGAATAGGCACTGTGCTCCAATCTGGGCAACATAGCAAGACCCCATCTCTTAAAAAAAATAGATAACATATAATTCCATTCCTATGAAATATACAAAATAGATAAATCCATAGAGACAGAAAGCAGATTGGTGATTATCAATGACTAAGGGAAAAGAGAAATAGAGAGTGACTATCTAATGGATATAACGTTTTGGGGGGTATAAAATGAATTGAATGAAAGTGAGGTGAACATGAACATATTGAAACTAGATAAGGGTCGTAGTTGTACAACACTGTGAATGTACTAAATGCCATTGAATTGTACATTTTAAAATGGTTAATTTTATATTATGCGAATTTCACCTCAAGTATAAAAAAACAATATTCAAGATATCTGAACATAAGGATTGTTACAGGATGGTAAAAATGAGGGTAGCTGCAGGAGTCTAATCTCAATCTTTTCTCCTTTCAACCTTTGTTCTCTCTGAGTAAGTAATTTATTCTGCAATTTTCTTTCTGCTGTCAAACATTTCCTAACTTATTCATGTCTAGCCACCACTATATTTCTTCTTTAATGAAATACTATTTTTAAACTCCAATGTTCTAAATGATTTATTTTGTTCATCTCCTTCCTTTTCCATGGTCAATAGCAGCAAAGGTTTTATGAATTATGATAGTATAACCCATACAGCCCTACTATTTTCTCAGTACTGACTTCAAAACTGAAACACTTTCATATTTTCTAACTTTGTCTATGATAAAATGTAATGCATAAAAAATTATATTCAAAGTTCTTGCTATATTTCCTACTTTTTTTTTTTTTTTTAAGATAATAGGGCCTCCCTATGTTGCCCAGGCTGGAGTGTGGAGTGCAGTGGCTATGCAGTGACTATCCATAGTCCTGATCATCTAACCAGAGTGCACTGCAGCCTCAAACTCCTGGGCTCAAGCCATCCTCCCGCCTCAGCCTCCCTAGTAGCTGGTACTACAAGCGTGCTGCATTGCCTGGCTATTTCCCACCTTTCAACTGTAAAAGTTTCTGTCTTATCTGGTAAGTAGTACCATAGCCTATTTTTTGTTTGTTTGTTTTTCTTTGTGTTTTCTTCCATATCCAATTTTTGTAAAGAATATACATTTTCACTATATATATATATGTATATGCATATACATATATATATGTATATGTATATACATGTATATACATATATATAGATGTATATACATCTATATGTATATGTATATACATGTATATACATCTATATGTATATGTATATACATGTATATACAT